TTTTTTTTTTTTAATAATAATGATGACATACTAGTAATTTAGCAATATAATCTAGGCTATCTAGACTTTTAGTTGTGTAAGTGTATGTTACAAAGGCGATGCTGAATGTGAAAAAGTGGCAAGCAAGATGATGACCATTGGTCCAAATGTTATCTGTGGCTCATGATTCCATTCACACAGAGGAGGAAAGCAGGTTGCTTGAAGTCCATGTAGCAATTCTCTTTCTCCTTCTTTCTTCTCTGAGTCTCCTAAACCATGCCTCAGCCAAGAGACAGGAATGGCTCAGCTCCTTTCATCATAGAACTGAGGGCAGATAGAGCCTGCAGTACAAAGAAACCAGTCACCCCCACCTTCCCCCCGTGATTAACAAAGGAGCAAGTAATAAAGTGAACACTTGCCATTCCGCCTCAGAAAAACTGCCAATCTGACCGTAACAATGCATGTATAATATAAATTCCATATACAGAAACACTCCTTCATAGGACTCGCTCTACACTCTGCTGAATTATTTCCCCGTAAGGATTTCTTGTGAATGTAAGCAAGCTAAAGCCAGAAACTGGACCAGAAACTCATTCAGCTTATCTTTTGACAGTCTTCCTTTTGTAGGGATAATATTGCCCTTTCCTTTCACAGCTAGGTTTGTACTTCCTACATAGGTCTTCAACACTAACAAAAATTATTGTTTAGAAATGCAATAGATAGAAATTACAGAAGAAAAAGCAAAGGCAGAAGAAGTAGAGGAATATGACTGGACAGAGATATGCTGGCGATCTCTACCTATCTGCTACTCAAAGTGTAGTACATGAACCAGCAGTATCAGCATAACGTCAATTTGTTAGAAATGCAGAATCTCAGGTTCCACCTGAGGCCTCAGTACTGAATCAGAATCTACATTTATCATGATTATCAGGTGTTTTGTATAACATGAAAGTTTGAGAATCATTACTCTAAGTACAGGTAATACCCTATTTTTACAACTGGCAGGTGGATCCACTTGGTATTATTCTCTATAATAAACTCACTTAAGTTATATATTCTTCTAATCATGCAATAGGAGCTCTGGTGGCTTAGTGCCTAAGGCATTTGACTACTAACAAGAAGACTGGCAGTTCTAAACCCACCAGCCACTCCTCGGAAGGAAGACGGGGCAATCTACTTCCGTAGTGATACCGCCTCGGAAACCCAAGGACGGTTTGCTATGAGTCAGATCCGACTCAACAGCAGTGTTTTTTTTTGTTTTTTTTTTTTAATTATACAATACCTATCTAATTTAGCCTACAAAGAGACCTCACATTTACAAACTGACAAGTAGGGAAAAGAATGCTAGATGAATCTGATCTTCACACAGTCAAAATTCAGACACACATAAAATTTCAGAGATCACTTAACCAACCTTTTCATTTTATGGGAAATGAAATGATGTGATTCAGAACAGAGCATGCCTTCCCAGCGTCAAACTGCTAATGATTTTGGCAAAGTCAGATGAGGGCTCAAGCCTCATGCTCCCCAGTAATGACCTGAATCTTAAAATAACATCAGTGTAATATATTATGACTGATTTTTTTTTTCCTTTGTAAACAAACAGACAAGTTAAAAAAGAAATTAGCATTAAGTTTAAAAAAAAAAAGCAAGACAATTATTAAAGCCAGTATCTGGTGTATTAAAAGTAGATACCCAATATTTTTAGTTTGAATGTATGACTCATTCTTAAGCAGAGACAAACACTATTAGTCACCTTTTCACAGAATGCAAAGCTGAGTCTCATAACATGAAGAGATTCTTTTATGGAACAAACCACTTAACATCATTTTTAAAATAATTTATGATACTGTCTCCTCAAGAAACCCAAAATCATTCTTAAAATTTTATTAAAGGCAGAGAATATTTAAATGTTTGTTATTTGAGTGTGTGGCTGTTTAATTTGAATGAGATAAGTATCTGAAATATATTTTTTAAAGTAGTACTTAGAATGCTGAAGAACAGTATACTCACCAATACTAATTTCATCATCTGTTTCAGCATCGCCAATGCATTCAAACTGGAAATCTTGTAGTGACTGGGAAAATTTCTGTACTGCTATAGACAGATCTGCAATTAAAGTTAGAAAAAAAAAAAATCAGGCGAAGATACCATGGAATGTTCAAGGGTTTCCATATATTACATAATTTTCACTTCAGGAGCCCTGATGGAATAGTGCCTAAGGCAATTGACTGCTAACCAGAAGGCTGGCAGTTCAAACCCACCAGCCACTTCGCAGAAGGAAGATTGGGCAATCTACTTCCATAGTGATTCTGCCTAAGAAAGCCAAGGAGGGGTCACTATGAGTCTGATTCAACTCCACGGCAGTGAGTTTGGTTTTTTGGAATTTTTATTTTAGTGTTATATTAACCAGAAGCGTTTAAAATGCCAGTTAGACAAATTCAGGCAGAATTTAAAGTGACTACTAAATAAATATTGTAGAAATCTTTTGGTCCAGACATACATTATTTGAAAGCCAATTTCCCAAAGCTGTTATCAAAGAATTACCATTCACTCACTATAAATGGAGTATGCATAAGAAAGAAGGAATGCTACTGAGGTTCCAAGTGAAAACAAAAACAAAACAAAACCACCCTTTAATTGGAAAGGATCACTTCTGTTCCATTCAGACTGAGGAGAAGGTAGGGGATGTTTGTAACCAACAAACTACTGGTTTTGATCTAGCAGTAGAAAGATAACCTGAAAGATTGTTTACAAATGACCTTTGATTTACATCAAACCAAACTCACTGCCATCAAGCAGATTCCAACTCATAGCAAACAAGCATATTCTTCAAACCTGATTTCTATCTGAAAAAGGCCCAGGGCAGTGCAGTGAATTACAGGCATACCTCAGAGATGTTGTGTGTTCAGTTCCAGATCACTACAATAAATATTGCAATAAAACAAGTCACATGAATTTTTTGGTTTCCCAAACCAAAACCAAACTCACTGCCATCAAATGGATTCTGACTCATAGCAACTCCCACTAGGTTTCCAAGCAGTAAATCTTTAGGGAAGTAGATTGACCCCATCTTTCTACTGTGGAGCGGATGATGGGTTTGAATCATCAACCTTCTGATTAGCAGTTAAATGTCCTAGGCATGTTTACTATACTGTAGTCTATTAAGCATGCAATAGCACTATAAAAAAAGTTTGAAATATTGTGAGAATTACCAAAATGTGACACAGAGACATGAAGTGAGGACATACTGTTGGAAAATGGCACTAATTGGCTTAATCCATGCAGGGTTACCACAAACCTTCACTTTGTAAAAAGCACAATATCTGCAAAGCACAAGAAAGCAAAACATAATAAAACCAGATACACCTATAATTTACATGGCCCTCTCTAACCATTGTCTGTGATGCTCACAAAATGACTGGGTGTAACTGCACATAAGATGCTATTGGCCCATCAAGGGAATTAGATAGCTAACTGCAAATGCAAATAAGGTGCATG